ACACAATGCCGGATATCTCTGATGTTGGAGCGCATGCAGTCCTTGAAATTGGTATATCAAACGCTTGCGGTACACAAGCACAGCGCCCGGCGGGGAAGTGGCGAACAATACAGAAGGATAATAACCAATGAGATGGTTATTATACTCTGCATCAGGATAATCCTGCATCAACCACTTCAAACCATAAAAAAATAATAATCGAGGCATGTTTTTTAATATTAGCTAGTAAATTTAATCAATTAATCATTTTCAAACTCAATTAATATTAATTACGCAGAGTGGCAAAATCTAAAGATTGTGTGTGACTCTATAAAAGTGCAATTTGTAATTAATTTAATTTTCCAGCCTGCGAGCCCATTGTTATTTATTAAAGTTGATTAATTAATGCGGGGGTACGCATTTCCCATGCGTACGATCAACGTCTTGCGTGATACTGATGAAGACGGTAAATGTACAAAACGGTCGATTATTAAACAAGACGTTGTATTAAAATATTAAATCTTCGTTTTACACGCAATATAAATTCAAAAACTTGAAAATTTTAATTTTTTTTTGCCTAAAATCAAAAATTTTTCAATTTTTCTTAATAATTCACTCCGAATATAACTCCAAGCTGTTAGTCTAAGTAAAGTAAAGTTACAAGACGTGACAATATATGCTCTGTGCGTTACACGCTCCCCGACGCGCCATTGTTCATTAATCTTCATCGAACCCGCGAACAATTTACACCGGCATTGACGGCGCATGCAAAGGTATGAAGAGACGCACGTCGAAACGCCTACTTCACGCTCCACGCGAAGCTCTAATAGATTAATGTAAAGTTCACTATAAGCACAGCTCGAAAAAAAACCACTTTCATAGCGTGCATTATAAATTCCTCTAAAAATTGTGATGGATTCATTTATTTTCATATATATTAATAAATCAACTTCATATTTTAATAGTTGCACAAAGTTGCGCGTGAAAACTTAAAACATAAAGTCAAGCCGCGACTAAGAAATAAATCTTACTGAAATAATAGCGTCCTCATCCTGTAAAGAATGAGAAATCCGACAAAACTCACAACGTCCATTCGTAAGGCTTACCCACCCGAAGAGTGAGGTTTTCACCTCATATATTTAGATTTAGTCCTTTTTGAACCTTTTCTGACGCAATTTATAACTACTATTATCGCTTTGTTCGATGCGCGCAGCGCGTTTATAAATTTTCTAAAACACATTCATTCGTTGGCAAAGTCCTGTGTCCTGTGCGCGATACACAATGGCAGTGTATCCAGCAGGCTCGCCGGAAACGCGTTTTGACGCAGGTCGAAGCCAGGACGAAAAAATAAAACGAACCGCTGCTACTGCTGGTGGGGTATTATATGTGTTTGCCAGCTTGCCCGGAAAAGCACCTTTTTTCCTATTCTCCGCACCGGCGTATCCCTCGACACTATTTGTGCAGGAAACCGCAAAATTTCTGCTTATAAATAATTCATCGTGTAATGCGAGCACGCGCACCACGAGCAATAAGCGTCGAACGTGGCTGGAGAATAAAAAAAACACAAGACGCCGCCAATAACACCGAAAATGTTTCTAAACATTTCTTAAAATGTTAATCGTGTAATCTCACACGGCTGTTTAAAGTGCGAGAAAGGTCACCAATTTCAATAATCTCAAGGATTTCAAAGCAGGAATTAAGAAAATATTTATTATCGCACTTAAAAGTTTTAAAAGTTTATTTCTTGAATTTATTATTCGCCTTAAAACAAGCAAGTTCGATGAAAAATTCGCAACTGCAATTAAAGTTTAACTTGATGGCTGGAATTTCTATTAAGTCTTTCGAGACGTCAAGGATTCGGTTACAGAAAAAAATCAAACAAGCAAGCGCAGCACAAAAGGCGAGAAAAAGCTTTCGCGGAAAAGTTTGAATCAATAGCGCTAGGCAAGCAACTCGACGTTGACTTGTCTTCCTTAAATTTGCTAGTTTTTGCGCAAAGGGTGCGAAAAAAATAGGTCAAACTATCACCAACTATTGATGGAAAACTTGTTTCATATAAAAACATTATATTAATAAATACCACTATATATATTTTCGCAAGGAAATAAAATTTATTAAAGTGATACGCTCAAAATTCCACCACAAATTCAACCAAATTTTTGTTGCGTCTGCATGAAGAGAGATAATAACGAATTGTTTACTCTGGGAAAAACAATAGCAGCGAAGCTCGCTGCACGTGCAAATATAGCGAATTCATATGGAAAATAAATATTAATTCACGCTTTTTGCGAGAGGAACGATTTATACTGCCACAGTGAAAACAATTAAGCGTAAATTTTCATTCGGATCGAAGTTATAATCGCTTGAAATATTATTTCGAAAGTTTTCGTAAAGTTTGTGATTTGTGAGAACTACGCGAAGGTAATTCTAATTTATTGTGGTAATTTGTTACCAAAATATTTAAATTTTGAAAAATGTTAAAAACAATCAAATAATTTATGTGATTAAATTTTTTATTAATTTTAATCTAATAAAAATAATATTACTATGAAAAATATGAAAATTTGCGCTGTGAAACATGAAATTTTTTGGTTTTTTGTTATTTTTTCAAAGTTTTTTGCATTTTTTGATCAATTATCCTTGATTAAAGCTTTATTAGACTCAACTGCGTAGGTAACCAAAGTTAAAAACTACTTTTCCAGTGATATTTGATACAATAATCAAAAAAAAACGAGCAAATTTATGTTTAAAAATAACAAAAACTGAAAAAAAAGGATTTTTTTAAACGAAATTATTTCATTATTTATTAGATTATTAGTTTCTTAATACCTTTAGTCTGGTAAAAAGAATATTTACTGAAGAATAATTCTGCTATACTACAAATTATTAAAAAAAAAAAATTAAAAACAATAAACAAACCAAAATAATTCTGTATTTTTGCTCACTTTAGAGTCAAAAAACATTTCATTTCCAAAACCTGCTTCAACACGAATTAAATCCTAATTTATTGAATTGATTTGCTCCCAAAATATTCAAATTTACTTGAAATTTATACTATTTATACAAATGATCAGCCTGATACGTTTCATAACCCACGACACACACACAACCCATCTCGTTGTTTTGACATTTGTTCGTAAACTGCGCCCGCTGAAAGACGCCTGCCTCAATGACTCGCTTCTAAAGTTAAAGTACCTTGAACTCACTCGAATACCGAATCCCAGCTGCTCGACGAATATTTTAGTGTGTAATAGACGTGGATGTGCGTTATGTATATGCGTTATGCGCTTACGAACGAATGTATCAAGCTGCCTGCGACGAACTTGACAATTCTAATATTAATTTTAGAATGCTTGCTTTGTGTTTTATTCTTCTGCTACACCTCTGCCTCCACCGCCTCCTGCTCGTCCAACCGTATTAACTTGGCACTTGGCAAATCAACGTTAAACTCACGCCGAAATCAAAACAACACGTTTATAATACTCGTATTAATTAGATATAGTGATGTTCATCAACAACATTAAATTATTTATTATTTGTAATAAAAACTCTCTTTAAAGTTTCTCTCAACACTAATATATAATTATAATAATAATAGATTATATATTTATTTATATATATTTATATATCACTAGATTTTAACAAGAATTTTATGTAACTTGACATGTTATGTTGGTGGGGGTGCGAATTTTGGTTTTAAAACTTGGTTGTTGATTAAAGTTTGTCGCGTGTAAAGAGACGTTCGCCGCGCGGCCGCGATCGACACCGACTGGAGTGGTGCGCGGCTCGGCAGAGTGTTGGCGATAATTGCGCCCGCCGACGAGCATGTGTCATCGTCGGTCGGTGTGTGGTGAACACGCGTCGCGACGCGGCCGGACGATCGCGGGGCCACGACTGAGCGGCGCGACGCCGCGGCCGCCGCCGACGACGGCCTAGCCGCAGGGTGGGAAAATGCTGCGCACTCTGCGAGAGCGCAGGTAACTACATCTGCACCCACTGCTAAACTATATATGTTTAACAAGTTAACAATGTAAAACGTATTTTGTATTAAAAACTAGTTTTCCGGTGATATTTGATACAACAAGACAGGTAAAATGAGTATTTCTATCCAAAAAAATTGAAATTTTCGAAGTTAAACATGAAATTATTAAATTTTTCTTCATTTTTTAACTTTTTTCGATTTTTCCGACGAATTTTGTGTTTAAAAAATAAAAATATTTGTCAAATACTTAATAAACAATCAAATAAATCATTTGATTAAGTTTTTTTAATACTTTTAATGCAATAAAATTAGTATTTCTACCAAAAAATTAAAAATTTCGCCGAAAAACACAAAATTATTAATTTTTTCTTCATTTTTCAACTTTTTTAGGTTTTTCCGACGAATATTGTGTTTAATATTTGTCAAATACTTAATAAACAATCAAATAAATTATTTGATTAAGTTTTTTTTTATACTTTTAACACGATAAACCAAGTATTTCTAGCAAAAAATTAAAAATTTCGACGAAAAACACAAAATTATTAATTTTTTCTTAATATTTTTTCCAATTTTCAACCATTTTTAACAATTTTCCCTAATAAAACTTTGATGATACGCAACTACGCACTTGATATTCTGAAGAATAACTGTACTGCACTATAAATTAATTTAAAAATATTAACAACAATAAACAAGCTAAAATATTTCCGCATTTCCGGCCGACTTGCTCACTTCAGAGCCGGAAAACAATACATTCTCCCCTCACGCTTCGCCAAACAGCGCCGCTCGTCGACTCTTGGCGATATGCAAAAATTAATTAAAGCCCCCAAATAGAGTGCTCACAAAGAATGCGCCGCGTGCCGAGGAAATTCGTTTACTTATCATTATTTATTAGCGCGGCGAAACGGCCGAGGAAAGCCGTAAAACAGTCAGTTTTACTCGACTAGAAAACTAGTACATGCTTGTACTTGCTAAAATGTAGCAAAAGAGCCGGAGACGAATAAAAACGAGAGCAGCGCCAGCTCGTAAAAATAAAGCGTACGATTAATTATTTATCACCATCTTGCGCCCGTACAACAAACAAGTTATTTTATTCCGCATGTGGAGAATAAATCAATTTTTAAAATTTATATTAAAACAAAAACCGCCAGCCACGCGACGATGATTTATTCATGGCGTCGATTTTTTCCGTATTCATTTTCACGTTTTGACGTTTTAACGATACAAAACGTCTAATATGAGACTAAGATATAAATTCAGGCAGGTTTTGCGCAAAACGAGAAAAATCAAGGACGCGAATCGCTGCTGGTGGTGCCGGTGTGTGTGTCACGCCGGAAATTTATGGCGGAAATCGCATGTGACAAATTGAATTGTTTCGGGCTTTAAAGCGATCGCGAAATAAATTCACCACCAGACGTTTCCAAGAGTACACACGAAAAAAGAAGTGAATTATGTGCGCAAAACTAAAATTTAGCGCTGAATTTCTGTTTTGAAAGCTAATAAGCAATTAGGTGAAGCAAACTTGACTGCCTCGGCTGCCCCCTAAGTGGCGGTAACTTGTAGAGAAGGTCTGAAACTTCCACTCACCTGCAACAATAAAGAGAAACAATAATTAATATAAATCACTCGCTGTTTGCAGTTTGCGTTTCGCAATCTTGGAAGACGCAGGGCGCGCAAATGAAATTAGTTTCGTTGTAATGACACCGCGCACGTGCTCACTGCTCAAATTTATATACAGGGTGTTCAATTTCTATAATTTATCACCACAAGTGCAACCAACTTCCGGTTTTCCGGTTCCAACAAAAATTATACACATGTAAATTTTAAACTTATAAAATTACACTTCCGGTTTTCCGGTTTACAATGTCCATAGTTGCAACAAAACGTAGATGGCCAGTGGCTCCCTGGAGGTATCCACGAGCGAAATTGAAGCGCATCGCAAGACGCGCGCCGAGAATGTTCAGGAGGGATACATCCGGGATAATTCGGAATCGATCCGCCCATCCACCCCTCTACAGCTACTAGTGCTAGTGGTAGTATCTTTTAGTTAGCCGGGCGTGCACTTCAAACTATATCCATGATTAAAATTCTTCGCCGACGCTATCTCATTCGCGCAAAAATGTTTTCCGGTCTGCGTGTGAGTGCACGGACGGCCGCTAACCGAGCCGGAAGCGACTCTCACCTTAATTAAGTCGACCTGCCATATTTCAACTAAATAATTGGCTTCATTTTTCAACTCTTTAAACTTTGCGCGCCTCGGAAACTTTTCCGCGCCGGAGCAAGATAAGAGAAACACTCGGAAACTTGCAAACAGTTTTCTGATTAAACACACAACGCGGAATCAAACCTCTCCCCATGGGTTGGTTACAAAGGGCTATGTTAATTAATATACGTTGCATTTCGAGTTGATTTTTCAGTTAATCTACGCTGTCAGTGAATTTTAAATTAATTAACTTGCTTATCCGAACTATTTTGTGTAAGTAGCTAACAAGATTTTATTTCGGCGCGTCGGCTAAAGCAATATTAATGCGTCGGTGTTGTTACAGCTTCGATTACTTGATCGAAAACGCTTTTATCGCTAAAACGACCCCCCACGCAATCAGGCCGGAAGTCATAAATCATCATTATATAGAAAATCCGAGCTAATGCGGCAGAAAACGCGCGGAAAAAATACTAAATCAAACCAACTCAAGTGAATGTTACATATTTCACGACAATTGATATCAATTTCATTCAATTACAGCGCTAAATAAATTATTTCCAGCGGCGCCTCCACCATAAAATAAAATAATTTCATTTATCGTCGCTAACAAGCAACACTTTATTTTTATCGCTATTAAATTACAAAATTAGCAACGTTTATACGTCCCTAGTGTTAGTGCAGGGTAGCAGGGTAATAGGGAGGGAGGGGAAAGTGTCGTTTTGCTTTCGCTTTTTGCTTTTTGCGTTTCCCCATCCAGGAAACCCTCTCACATTGCGCGTAATTCCACTCGCACGCGCGGTATAGTTGCCGGCGACCGCAAATGTGCGCATTAACGTGAAATATTAGTATTGCTAATTATGTGCGCACAGAGAAGCACGCCTCCGCCACAACCACCAAAGCCACCTTAATCAGAAATGACAGCGTAATGGACGGCGCAATGATACAATGACTACAACAACTCGGGCAGGCACTAATTACCTCTCTACAAACTGCTAGATAACCAATGATAACCAACACCTAGACGCTGGAAAATATCCGGAAATTTTCAAGGAATCGACGCTCGTAAATATTTCATAATTAGCTTGTGTTTATGTCCGGCACGTCGAGGTTTATTGATATGAATACCCCGGGTGGATTTAGTGTTGAGTTTTCCAATTGACTGGCGTAATGCACGTCGAGTTCGAAGCCGTAAAGTCCATAAACTATTATATGCAGTAAAGTCACCCTCGCACACACGGAAATCGACTGATAGTCATATCGTGCGCGAATTTCCTCAACTTTCATGCGGGGCGAAGTTTACGAGAGAAAACTCACTTTTGAAATATTATCATATCAGAGCGAGGGATGGCGGATTTAATTTGAATTTTAAAGTGGCTGGCTGTTATCCAGTTAGAGTTAATAAAAGAACTTGTTTTACTCGTAGGAGATAAAAACTACTAAACTCGTATTTTTGGAAAGCAATATTAAAATAGACAATTAAGTATCCAGTGGCTAAACGGGAGTTTTAGTCACGAGTGTAGCGAGTGTTTAATCAATCGAGTGTTTAACAACTTTATTTTTTCTACTTTCACTATATTTTTTTATAAATCTTCAAAATTAGAGTACTTTAGTCACGGTCGTGGCCATCAGTGTTAAAAATAGTACTTTTCGTGTTTAAAAACAATGGAAAAACTAGCACTATAAAAGTGAAAGTAAAAAAATCAATTATTGTATCCACCCCGGGACTAAAAACAGTGACTAAAATATTTTAGTCACGACCGTGTTTAAAGTACCACTCTTTGTGTCTAAAAACCGTGGAAAAACTGGCGTTTTGAAGGTGGAAGTAGAAAGAATCAATTATTGAATCCACCCCGTGACTAAAACCGTGACTAAAGTACTTTAACCACGAACCCGGCAGTCCGTGATTAAATGACCACTTTTTGTGTCTCGAAACCGTAGAAAAACAGGTGTTTTAATAGTGGAAGTAGAAAAAATCAATTATTGTAGGTATTTTTTTGATGAACCGAGAATGGAATTTAAATGTTTTTGCGCAAAAATGTGCAACGTGAGCGAATTTCAGCGGCATGTTTGACGCATGCCATTAAAGCCGTAAACTTTTCGGCACACTAGTGGCGAATAATGTGTTTTCGCTCGCGATTTCAGCGCTCCAGCATGGTTTTTGTTTTAATAAGCCTCGCGCAGCGCGAGCGCAAACTTTTATTTTCCAAGTTTGCGCTCGGCGCGCTGCAAACGACACCATAATCCACCCAGACGGCTGGCTAATGCATGCATATTTTGCTCTCGCGGTTGTTTAAACGCCAATAATATTTCTACATTTCGGGGCGCATGTATGCACAACTAAATTTCATGTCGGCATTAAATTCCAAACAAGTGGAAAACATTAAATTTTACATTTTACAAAACAAAGCAATTCAAACACTACAACAGAAAAAAATAATAACTCCTCCTTTGTTCATAAAATCCTTTGTGAATTTAATTTTCTCACAAGACTGAAATTTCACCCTCCGCGAAAGCCAAACCCTAATCGAATAATTGAACAGTAGTTGAAATTTTAATTTAATAATCGATCGCACGTCGCCGCTTCAAAACTCGCAATCTCCTCGACCCCGAAAGTGCCTAGCAATGTTAATTAAGAAAGTCCTTAAGGATATCACCCCTCGTGTTCTATTCGTCCTTTTTCTCCTCGATGGGATAAAGTAGCAATTCGCTTGTTCGAGAATATTAAAACCGGTGAAAGTTTTTCAAGTATGCGAAGAAGAATGAGGATAAATAGCTGAACTGATGAGGCGTTTAACGAAGGCTGACAATTCGGATCGCAATTAAAAATATTTACGCAAATGTTAGATTATTCATTCTGAAACCTTTTATTTGGGTCTAAAAAGTATGGGATTCGTATGCAAACAAAGTTAATTTATGTCTTTCGGGAGGAGCAACAAAATTTATCCCACAGACCATCGAGCCGCATCAGCAACACACAAACATTCGCATGACCCGATTCACCGTTCGCGGTGGTTTGGCTCAACGTCGTTAACATCGGGCGTAGGTTGATCCACGACCGCGACGACCACGACGACGCAAATCCCAAAACAAAGCAACGTCAACCCAGGAAGGACCAAATATACCCAACCCAAGGCCGTGGTAACTACTGGTACCAAAACACTCGCAGGCGGGAAAGGGAGGAAGCAAGACGTAAACCAAGCACATAAACCCACACAGACAAACACAGACAACACAGAGTGGTACTATAGTGTTCTACGGTACAATGGATAGGTCATTACGAAGGCCCCAGCTTCTTGTTGTTGACTTGCGCGCTTACTCACTACAAATTTAACGGGGTCGGCACTTGGCAAGTGCATTAAAGTTGCAAGTGCAGCGTCATCGTCACGTGGCGATTGTGGAACTGTCAGGATCATTGCTCACTGTGTAGATACGAGTACGTCCATATATTTAATGCGGGTTTGTGTAAAAATACTCGTAATTCAATTTGGTTTGTTAGGCAAACAACGCTGATGGACCCGATGAGAATAGGCGTAAAGAGTGAAGAGTGAAGAGTTGAGAATTTCCGCGCGTTCCTGATTCCAATCTTTTTTGCAATTACACCCGAGTTATTATATAATTGAATTCAATCGGTCGGCGAACGCGCGAGAACAAGAGCAAACAAGACAGCAAAGTGAACGCGAAATGAAAATCAACACGAGAGATGTTCACGTTTGCACAACGCTTTTATTTTATTCTTTATCTATAAACTGATCAGACGTATGCGATAAATCAAATGTATGAATAAAAAATAAACCAGAGAGGAAGAAATTTACAGTGTAGCCTCTTTATAACGACATGACGCTACATCGAGGATCAAAAAATAATCAAATATTGTGAGTCTTCGCAGATTGACATCTGTTTAATCATTTGTTAACTGGTTATAAACTAAATTACTCTAGTAAAAATGCCAGTAAATATTTCCTGAAGTCTAAATATGAATTCCGTGTCGCTCAGTTATATTAACTTGTGTTATGTTTAAATGATTTTCTAGTAACGCAACGTGCACCCCAACAAATTAGCTGAAAAATCGTGCTTAAGTTATAGAAATTTGCATTGCAATTTTCCGGGATATTGGGATCATAATTACAACAATATATCAAATGTTACCATCGATGTCATGTCTTTAAAAAAATATTCTACCTCATAATTGCTGGAAATGAAAATATTTTTCGTTTTTACCCAAAGAAATTAATATAAACCAACCAAGTTATACAAATTTCGTTCTTATAAAGAATCTACACTTTAGTTTGTAAATTTTGCAAATGTTTTTGCCCAGTATTGATCGCTGCAGGCGGTGTGAGGTGTGCGTGTCAACGAGGATGATCCGGTGGCGGCGCGCGACTAGATTAAGTGCGGCGCGCTGCGAAAAGGTGCTAATTTCGAATGCAAACAAACTTGCGCAAACAGAGTTACCGATAGATCAGCGACCCAATCAACGCTTTTTACACAATCCCACATACGCGCACGAAAACACATTTTACTCACACTCATACTCCTACAATTCACAAGTGGATTAAGAAAACTTTTCATAATGTTGAAATTCATTTCGGGATTATAGAATTCAAACATACGGCATAAAAAGAAAAAAAAAACGAAAACACTTGCACATTTTCTATAATCGCATCGCATTACGTGCGCGCACACGTTGAATTCATTTCTCATCGAGATCGAAAAGCATTACTTCTACTTACACACCGCCATCCGGCTGCCTCTTTCGCATCCTCATCCGCTAAACTCTCCTCACACGTGCATGTGTTTATTGTCTCGTCGGTGTGTTGGTGAAAAGTGAGCATATTCCCGGCGACGCGACGTGCGCGCATCTCTAATCCTCATCCCTTGTTCACGCTCTGATTAAATTCCGTCGATATATACAATACAATATACCCGCGTGTGTGTGTGTGTGTGTGTGCATCATATTCGTGTATATTGGGCAAACAGATGTTGTATTCGTTAATGCCCTGCCATTATCGTGCATTACACATAACGCTAGCGCGCATATCTGGATATCGGGATACCGGAATACCGAAATACCAAGAGATAGGTATGTGTTTGAAGTTGAAATTTAATGTGCTCAATATTTTATCTAGTTTAAAAGTGTCTATGCTATGTACTTACGGTTTGTAAATTTTCGAAAATTAAATTCGCACTCACCTGAAACAGAAAAAAAATTAATAAATTAGTTTTCATTAAAACCTGATTAAAATTTGATATTTTATTTATGTTTCATTAAGTTTTCCTCTTCCGGCATCAATTTACTTCGACGCAACTTGACGTCGCGCCGCTTCCTATTAAGTTAGACGTCTTAATGCACATCGCATGCGTGTGTGTGTGTGTGTGTATGCATTAAAACCCAAGTGCAGTCATTGCAGCAAATGGAGCGCAAGACTTCTCTCTGACATGCATGTCGTCGGCGTATGCTCATATTTACTTAGCGTCTTATGCTTTTCCCAAATGGGAAAACAAACGCGAGTGGAAGTAAAGTCATTTACAACAACAGAAAAACAGCAAAAATTAAAACAAAACTTTTCAGTTTACATTGATTTTTCGACTTGAATACACTTAATGAGACATGTCGGCATGTCGCGATTTGTAAAAATGCGTAAAACATTAGGTGTCGCCAACATTTGTACACAGGCCGCGTTCTCGCTCCGCTGAGTTTTGTTTTCCGCGCAATGTCTCGTCACTATGCGCGCCGGCTTGTTCGACATTGCTACGAGTACACAACACACAGGGAGTGTTCGTCGTTGTAGCGCAAGTTTCACACGCGACTATTCGCGCAATACAAAAAAACCAAGCTAAGCACCAAACACAACACGCGTCGCAATGCGAATGTGCAACGAACAAGACTGATAAATGAAACACTCTTCGCTCCAGCGCTCTGCTAAAACTAAACTGAAACTTGTCGCAATTAACACACATTTTAACTAAACGCCAACATTTTTCTTTTTTATTACCCAATGTGTTGAATTGTTTTGATTTGTCACTTGTCACTTATCACTTGGTATGCGTCGTCAGAAAATTGTAAACTCGATCAAACGCTTCAAGTCGTTTCGCATTCTCGAACGCGCACGCCACAAAGACGAAATTTTACATATTCCAACACGAACTAACCGGAAAAAAGTCATGTTCAACTGGAATAAAAATATAAATTCCTAACATTGTTATGTTTATGTATATTACTACGCGCTGCGACTTTATTTGATTACGTGAAGTGAGAAATACAAGTCACACGTCCATTTGGACCAGGGCCAAATGTGATTTTAAGAATCATACATTTATAAATATTTTTATAGGGAAATAGGATATTATAGTTTATAATAACGACACCAGAGGGCGCGCAGTACAAAGAGGTGGGGATTGACTTTTTTCAGTCAGAACTGAGGCTCAAGTACGACTGAACGCGTTACGCACTGCGCGCTGCCCTTTTAAGCCTGCATAGTACCCGCAAAAAGTAGTGGGGGAATCATACTACGCGCAATACTTAAAAAACCCATGAAATTTAGTCACACATCCATTTGGCTGTGACCCAAACAAATTTCCAACGTCATAATTTCCCAGGAATGATTCTATAATATTAAATATTATATACGTAATGATTGTAAAACTCACACGTCGCGCTGTTAATGTCCTCCAACGGCACTATGCGCAATAAATGCGAGAATTAATAGCAGAAGACATTAAAGGGTCTAAGGACTAATAGCATCAACGGCGCTGCGTTCGAATCTCTCACGTAGGTTAACTTAACTAATATCCGCATATTAATTACATCTTTACACTTTACGGCTTTGTAATTATTTACGGTGCACAAAGAGCACACAATCACTAATGAATATTAATTAAACACCCAACCAACTCAAACTTGGCGAACAAATAGCCAAACAATAATGCATAATATTTACCTTTTTTTTTTCTCTATTCTATTTCGTTGAATAATTTTTGCACAACACTAGAATTTAACCGACCCGTTCACGACAATAAACTTACACCGACTGAGTGAATGTCTAGCATCGTAGCAGCAAATCGAACAATCGCCGCTGTTATCGCTCGACCTGAAAGATTACTTCGCCGCTTGCACAATGACCTTCCAGCTAGACAACATTCAAATCGCATGTCAACAATAACATCAACAAGAAATAAAAATTGATTCGACAGGCAATTACAACTTAACAAGCAATAATTGTAATTAACAACTGTCGTAATTGATGGACATATTAATATTATTTCTGCTCGGATTGTCAAAAAGCAAACATCAAACATTTCCTATTCAAATTCGTAACGAGTGTTTCGCTGCGCCTGTAAGGCTTGTTAGTAAAATTGGTATTGAATGGTAGCGCACACGAGAGCGTGGGAATAAAATCTAGATTTAATGAGTTCTTTCTCGTTTCACTCGCGCGATACACATCCGAAAGCTACCATTTTGTTCTAGTGCGTTCGGAGCGTTTATCGTTTTGAAAAATGCGATCGTCCCAGTCGCAGGCGCAATCAAAAACGAATCTCGATCGGAAATCGTACGCATGCAACTAACGACATTGCGACGCGACATCTGCTATACGGAAAAAAAATACAATAATCCCAGCCTAATGAAATAATAAATTTAAGTCAAGCACGAATCAAAATTGAAAAAATGCAAACAAGATATTATATTGTGTATGTTTGTGTCGCATTCACGCAAAAACCACCCAATCAATTTTGATAAATTTTGGTGTGGAGATATTTTGGACCTTGGAGAATAACATAGACTACTGCATGTCGCAAAAATATAACATACAGGGTGTATAAAATAGTTTGCAAGTTTAAAAACGAAAAAAATAATAAAATTTTTAATTTTTAATTTTTCGATGTGAAAATAATCGATAGGACATTCATGGTGACTGCTCCGACGTTCGCACGTCCTCGGCGTCGTAAAACGATACTCGTAAATCTTTAGAAAAACGTATCTCGGAAATTTTACTGCTGCGCGTTTACGGATTCGCCAAGATTACACACGTCAAAACGTCACCTTCGTAATAAAAACCCGAATACGGTACATCTGAAAAAATATTAATTATTAAAATTTAATGTCGCCGCCTGTCAATTGTCACAATGTTAATTATTTCGCACAATGACACACCGAACCGACAAGATAACGGCCGGCAGGCTAGCGGTTCATTTCACGACTTAAACTGCGCATTCATCGCGCTTAATCGCTAAACTTTTAAAAATGACATCTCGAGATTATGATGACATGCACCGCCGCCCGAAACTCGCCGGTGAAGATCATCATCGAGCCGTGATCGATTCCTTTAGTTTTCGACCGGCGAGCGGTCATCGAACTTGACGCGTGAAGGTCGCAATGCGTTTTCTGCCGATATACGAGTAACACCACCGCCGTTGCGAGAAGGATGTAGATATATGTACCTTGTGGCTACTCAAATTGTTATGTGTAATGTAATCGTGCGCGCATGCAGCCGAGTCATTGTCCACTTAACACTTTTACAAACAACTAAAACCAAAGTTGTTCATGATTCGACGAAAACACGTTTGTTATAATGATAATAATTCTAGCTGCAAACAAAAACCGGACATAAATCATAACTTTTATTCGCGCGCGGCGAATTTATCCTCTATTAATGCAGATTTTTTCGTTTTTTCATCCATCCATGGTAATCAAATTAAATCCAATAAAAATTCACCCGAGCTGAAAATATTGTTGTGAAATTAAAAAATATATACTGACCGCACTAAATAATATACTACTGGAGATGGATAAACAGGGATAAGCGCATAAGCTGTGATTGTGATATTTTGTCCCCGGTGTCACGTAACGCAATGCAATGCGAGTGTGGCCAAGCATTAAGTCGGATAATTCGATGCGCACTGATGGGATGTGGCGGATATAGTGGCTAATCTCATTCGGAGAGGGTTGCTGTGCAAAACCTACAGCATTTACCTTTTATCTGCTTCCATCATATCAAAGTCAGAATTTGTACAGGGGTAATTTGAGTTTCAGGTCATCTCGGATTTAATTGCTTTTTGATTGCGTTTGTCGTTGGTTGTCATTATCACGATGGCGCAGATTGTTGCTGATTATTTTATTAATCGCCCGATGTAAATGTGATATAAATAAACAATGTTTAATTTAAACAATGCTTAATTGTTGTTCCAGTTGGTAATTTAAAGGAATTTCATTCTTTTCAATGTCTGCAGTTGAACAAATTGTTTTTAAATGGGTCGATTAATTAAAAAAACAAGCGCTCGACGAAACTATGCAGCGAATAAACGATGAAAACGAAACCAAACTGAATTTATTCGCATTCTTTCGTCTTGAAAAAAGTGTTTTTGTTAATTTATGTATTTGGAGCAGAAATTAATTGCCGTTTAAAAGTGTTTAGATTAATCGAAACTATATTAAATTAATTAAAATTAAAATTTTAAATCTAAAATATTTGAACTTTTGTATGTGGTTTATTTCTGGAAATAAACGAAATTTTTCGAAAAGTCGTAAATTTCCGCGCGCGCAATTTTTAACGCTGCTCGGCAGCCAAACAATGCAAAGTTGTTAAAATTGTTTCTACTTTCGAGTGTCGGCATGGTAATTAAGCGCGCGCTTCGAGTCGCGTTTAATTTCTCATTTTTATGCGCCAACAACACCCCCGAAAACCTCGTCAAACACCAACAACAGCACACAAAAAAGCGAAGTCAACTCAGAGAGAGAGTTGAGTTGATAAAACTAGGGTATTTGTTTTCGGCCGGCTTGGAGCAAAGAGTGGAAGTTGAGAAGTTAATTCGCGTTTGGTCGGAGGGCGCAAGAGCGTGTTCCAAGTCGTAAAACTAAAATAATCAAGCAGGCAAAAGTCGGCCGAGCAAGTTTTATTAAAAAGTATTAAAATTAAGTTAAGAGAAAAAGACTTGAAACGAAAAAAAAAAAATCAAATTAATTGAATTAAATTTCCATGTGCGTGGGAGGGTAAAATTTAATTCCAACCCCTGTTAGACAATCGAGCGAAGAAAACGGAAAGATCAACATCAACTTTGTTTGGGTGGTTGTTGTCGGCAAGAAACAAATATCCTCGAGTGAGTAAAGCGGAACAAAACTCCGGCGCGGAAAATTACTCGCGAGAATTTAACCATCCCCTTTGCTTGCTTGATAATTAACAAACTTGTGCGTGAATAATAACGCATTATTCACACGACAACGCATTATAAACCCACAGATGGCACTGTACTCAAATTAAATTCCATCCAAATTTCGGACATGCTTGATTAGTGCCGAGCGGTAATAAGACGAATAAAAGCATGCAGCAATGCATTGTCTCGTTGCTGCGGATTGGATTTTGAAGAATGTGTGTGTCAATGAGCGCGCGCAATGTTGCGCCACCCGCAAAGATCGTGATGCTTATTATTGCGCCGAGGTAACCAGACACGCCGTGGTCGTGATTTCCAGCAGACCGCCTGGTTAGCACACACAACACACATCCATCTTCGACTTCATCTCTTAACCAAAAACGTTCAATAATCCCTACTAATATTATAAATGCGAAAGTCCTGATGTTTGTTACACTTTCACGCAAAAACTACTTAACCGATCATCATGAAAATTTGTACACATATTCTTAGTGGTCCCCGAATGGTTATAGGCTACTTTTTAGTTAATAAAAAAAATATTTTTTAAATAAAATAAAGAAATTGTTTAGCCAATAATACCTCTGCATCTGGCTATTTGACTACTTTAACGCCATCTAGCATTCCAGCAATAAAGCTCAAACCTAAGTACTATAGTACCATCACACTGTATTATCACACTGTATTACCGACAGCTACGTCAACATCAAATCCAATTGACTACACTATGGAGACTGTACACTATACTTCCATAGACTATACTTTCAGCCATTTTAAACTTCCCGCCATTCTACTTCATTGTTACTTCTTCTGTGACTACAGACGCGTACGGAAGCAACTTCATTCTTTTAGATATTCGCGGGTTAAAGCTAGTAGCATATAAATTACTCGCAGTGCAATAAAAATAATTAATTTTGCTGCCGTGTTGACATTGTCGCCGGTAAAATATTAATCTCTGGCAACAACTGGAGGCCAGTTGTGCATAGAACTAGTTTTACTTGTAGGTCTCGGATGCATTTGGCCCAGAGCGTCGACTAACAGTAACTTTGCATGTGATGCTGCATCGGTCTTTCGAAACACCGCCGCGACCGCGACGTTGCATAAGTAATGCGATCGACGACGACAAGAAAAGTTTCCGTGCCGCGAGAAGAAGAGATATGGCGGTGTCGATAAGGCTAGGCCACAGTTATTGCCTCCACAGCGACGGCCATAACTGTAACTCTTCTACAAACACACTCTAGAGACACAAAAAAACCACCGAAACTAAAATAATATTAAAGAGCCGCGCACGAAATCAATACGTATCCGCATTGAGCTTTACTTTCACTAACAAATTGGTTAGCCATGAGATTAGATCAACTCTCAAAAGTCAAACGCGTGAGAACTTAATTTCTCTTATTCTATAGCTCTTACATACCAGGAGTATAAATTTTTTATTCTGAAAGCTTACCAGTTTTTTTCGTCTTCTTTAACGTGGACGGCGCCCTGATGATCGTAGGTTTAACATTGTACGTGATGCTCTTTTTGTGCTGAAGTGTCGACTTCCGGCGGCGCACCTGCCGCCTCCTCGGCACCGGCGACCGCCCGGGAGGCACGTACGGCCGCTGACTGTGCTCTGCCTCTGACGAGCTCAATTCGTTATCGTTATCATCGCCGTCGTAGTCGCTGCCGATCGATCCCAACGACACCCGCGAACAAGCGTCCTCGGAAAACTCGCCGATATCATCCGGAAGGCTTTCGTACAGCCCCTCCGAGAGGAAATCCTCCTCCGGCGGTGGTCCCGGCAGGTTGAAGTGACGCACCTCGCGCATTTGCACTTTAAACGATTGCTTACGCTTCACAGAGGAGACTTTTGAGACTTTACGCTTTTCAGGTGGGACGAAGATCATCGGATCTAGTTTCAGGGATTTCAAACACCGTGGAGGTCGACTGACCACTACCTGATACATTTCACTTTTGGAACAACTTCCGGTTTTAGATTTTCTACGCAGGGATGTTTTGCGTTTGCGATAACTACTGCGGGTACTACGCCTGCTTAAAGAACTTCTCTTGGAGTCTACTATGAGAGCAGCTCCACTGGTCCTTTTGAAGTAACCATCTCTACTTACGGATAACTTAGGTTTGGGTCGCTTTTTTCTAAAGAACCCTCTGGATACAATGCTATCATCAGACAACTTAGGGATTGATATACTAAAGGAGAATCCAGAATCTTTACTGGAAAATAACCCGGTACTAGCTGTAGTATTACTAGTAGAAGACAAGGTCCTCCCAACTGGTGGACCAGGTCTTTTCTGCAACCTATTAATCACTATGGGATCATCTCTCAGGTCCTTCAAAGCACTATCCAATGAATTATGAGCACCTATAGCAGTAGCAGAAGATCTAGGCATTTCCAAACTCCTCGGAGCCATGGCCTGAGGAGCATCCATCCAAATCCTACCCAAACTGATCGAAAGCGAACAGAGTTCTTCTGTACCAGAATCAGGATGGGGAATCAATGGAGGAGGTGAGAAAGTCCTCTGACGTTCCCGCTTTCTAATAATAGGAGATTTCTTCACATCAACATAATCACCCCATGGAAACATCTCAACTGCAGAATCATTACTCTCCTTACGTTGGAGCAATGGCGAAGTTTTCGTCGTCTTTTTCCTCAGGACAGGCGAAGAAGACAACTGTCTTATAACAGGTGGTGCAGGAAGTTTGATCTCATCGGAAGCCGGTACATAAATGACTGTCCTCTCAGCACCTTTGGCCCCCGTTGAATGGGTGACACCACCTGAGGAGTCATCTTTCCTAATACCTTTCAACCATTGCCCATAGGCAATCACACTTTGTCCAGGTCCTTCACGACTATTCGAGTCTGTTTTCTTTCCGCGTCCTGCAGATGCAGGATTTACGTTAATTTCGACCTGTGTACTCTTGCTCTGTCGACATGGCACCACCACTTCGTCAGCAGTAATCTCCTCTATTGTCTGTGTAGCCGCCTCCAACTTTTGGCTGGGCGTCTGCGACTGCGTCTGTAACTGCTGATGTTTCTTCTTGCCTCGGTCCAGATAACTCTTCCGGATCGAAATGCGCTTAAACGAGTCGCTGCGCTTAAAGGACGACTCCTTGTCCTTTTTCTTCTTGCCGCCCCCGACGAGGCGGCGCAGATTCTCAAAGGTTATCGGGCGCATCGCAATTCCAGGGGTTGTTTAATCCTTTTTTATTGCCAGCGTCGGCTCCTGCTGCTGCACTCGCTGTGCTGCAGCGGCCGCATCACGGCCGGCACTTTTATAACGCACCTAAACGCGATGAGAAGACAGAAGAGACGAGAGACGTTATTTTGATAAGCATTTTATGTGCGCGCGTGTGTCCTTTTATGGATTCTGGTAAATCTGCATATAAAACGCTTTGCGCTTAAATTAAATTTCTTCCTTATTTTATCTCGGCGACGATGCGTGTGTGTATGAGCCCCACCTCGCGGACGCGTAAACGTTACATTATTAAATCAAGTCTTCGCTTGAGGGTGTCAATTAAAAAACTTTACTAGTCTTCCAGGTGCGCTGCTGCAACCGAGTCGAATATAATTACAGCTGCGCGAATGTTGCACTAATGAGCGCGGCGCACCGATAGAGTTCTAGCCACACCTTGCTTTCTCATCTTTAGTAGCATTATGTAATATACTAACAGTATATGAATGCTTACAGTTTTTCACTAATTACTTACGCTCAGAGAGCTACGATTTCCCTTTTTTAATTTTCACGCCCAAACAGTTATGATTCGCTATAAATAGACTTGGATGAGAGTAGATGAGAGGAGGACCTGCCGGACCTCTGACACGCGTGAACTTTGCTTTGTTTATACGACCGCTCCTCGAAAGAAGCGCGCGCGTGGAAAATCAAATATTTAATGCCGTTCTACGCTCCAACCTTCAACCTGTCTCTGTGAGTCTGTGTGTAAGTGTATGTTGCGCTTTCCGCGGATCAAGTCAAGCACCTTTGATTTAGGTGTTTGTTTTGTCCAATGCAAATTTCCGCAATGTTGCGCGCCATGTTGTTGTATTCTTTTTTCCTCACTTCTTCAGCGCGCGAGAGATATGTAATCCCAGCGCGCAGGTTCCAAGCGTAAAATAAGCGAATGAATCAGTGAATGCGCATTTACTTAACCAACCGATCAACTTTACACAATTTACGCGGAAATCTCATCCTCAGTGCGCAGCGCACGATGAGGCCGTAAAATATGCATTTATTTGCACGCTCGTGGCGTGTGTTCGATGCAAAACAGAAGACGATACGGATCAACTCCGACGTCTTCCTGTTTTATCAACGCGAATAAATCACAAATTCAGGCTGCAATCAAACAACCAGCACCAGCGAGATAGAGAAATCTCTTTCGGCGATCATAATAGTAATTGATTGCGTTTCTTCTAATTCTCGATCGGTGCTAGCGTAAAAGTTTGCTGTTAGAAGCGCGCTGCCACCATCCGGTTGGATATGATTGATCATCACATCATCAGGATTACGTGATGGATTGCGTGCAATATTAAAATCTTATTTTCTACAAATAAAACTTTAAGAGTAATCTGTTTATTTATCAAAAACAAAATAATTTTTCTTTAAATACGGCCCTGTGGGTTAAAAATAAAATAAATCCACCTCTGTTTTGGCCTAATCACCAAAAGCACAATTCACAATTTCCGAAACACGTTTGCACGAGATGGCGGCCAACAATAAGAGATCACAACTTCCTTACACTACTCCAGTTGTAGCCAGCGTGTCCTACAACACAACGCAGCGGTATTGCCGAGCTTGCAGATGGAACAAAGCTTTTGAACCTCTTAGGCAAGCGATTCGACAGTCGCGGAGTCGTCGTCGTCGGTTACAGCTATTCGGTGCCGCTCCACTACTGCCACTTCGATTTATTAACGCAACATTAGAGCGCACCGACGGGCATTACCGTACCGTACAAGATATGTATGTGTGTGTGTGGAGTCGAGAGATGATAATGCCGTTGCACGCGCAGCAACAACCGCATCGAGTCATAATGCACACACTGCAGGACCAACAACAGCGGCGCAGGAATCGAATCGTGCTCGACACGCTACGAGCTACACGATCGGAATCGTGCGACACGACAATGGCAGGTGAATTGTGCACTAAGAGAAAAACTTTCTCAATATTCCGAAAAATATTTCGCTGTTAATCCTTCAATTTGTATTTTATGAAGAAGCCGCGTTAATTTTTTTTTTTTTTTTGCAAAACCAAGAAGACGGAGTAAAGTAGTCGCCGTCCCAGCTGGCACACGATCGTTTGAAGAGCGTTTTTAAACGCCTCTCACGAATGCTTTGTGCATTAATACTCGCATGCAAGCTAAACGCATTTCCACTTCAACTTGAATCCTTGCTTAGCTTCAGCTGTTTGCATGCGTATTTTAAATGCCGGCGAATCATTAATATGGTATTAGCTGTGGTGGCAGTCGGTAGTACTGTGATTTTTTTCTCTTTCCGAATAATCTGTTTCGATAAGCCGAGCGAACAAAACGCATAGATTTGCATAATTTATTGCTCAAATATATTTTCGTATTTTCTTGAACAACTAACAATAAAGTGTACTTGTGTATAAAGTGAAATTTACATTCGTAGCATGTTAATCGCCGTTTTATTGCGATTATCGTGATAATTTTCCACTTTATTGTTGCTTGTAAACGAGAATTTACGCAGCACGCGTGGAAAACATCCGGAATTTATACAATCGCGTGTAAAAATTGAGCAATTAACACAGTTTACACAATATACAGTGAATCAACAAATAATAAATTTTTTCGAAAAAAAAAACATGAATTAATTGTATTGGTTTAGATCGATACAAATCGCACGCTTAAATTAGTTCACCAGCGAAGCGTGTCCATCCATTAAAGTTGTAAACCCGAATCTCTATAATCTTAAACTTGTTTTACTCGCGTTGAGGAGAGTAAACTCGTACGGTTACTAAATACTTCTGCTCAATCGAACGGCAATTGATTTGGCAACTTAACCACCAGTCGCTTTTCAATTTAAAGACTTTGCTTTTAACTTAAGGGGATTGAATTGTATCCGAAAAATAAAAACAAAATAAATCCCTACTAATATTATAAATGCGAAAGTCCTGATGTTTGTTACACATGCACGCAAAAACTACTTAACCGATCATCATGAAAATTTGTACACATATTCTTAGTAGTCCCCGAATGGTTATAGGCTACTTTTTATTTAATAAAAAAAATTATTTTTTAAATAAAATAAAGAAATTGTTTAGCCAATAATACCTCTGCATCTGGCTATTTGACTACTTTAACGCCATCTAGCATTCCAGCAATGAAGCTCAAACCTAAGTACTATAGTACCATCACACTGTATTATCACACTGTATTACCGACAGCTACGTCAACATCAAATCCAATTGACTACACTATGGAGACTGTACACTATACTTCCATAGACTATACTTTCAGCCATTTTAATCTTCCCGCCATTCTACTTCATTGTTACTTCTTCTGTGACTACAGACGCGTACGGAAGCGACTTAAATTTAGTTAAATTTAGTATTTTTATAAATATAAAATAAAATAAACAGAAAAATCAAAAAAAAGAAAACTAAAATGTAATAATTTTTCATGTAAAATACACTGTGAGACATTGTAGATGTTACTCCTTTAACCCAACGTTCTGCTTTTACTGCCCGTCGATTTTATTGCTTGCTAGTTCAATGAAATTCGATGAAAAATTGGAAAACCGCATTGCCAAAGCGTTGCGAATCGGATCCGCAGTACTCCGCTAAATTACACGCTCTATAAGCTGGCGATTTATGCACGTTCAAAGCTTACAGAAACAATAAAAATAAAAATAAGATTTATTGAATATTATCTCTCACTACATAAAAAACGACAAGCATATTATTTCCGAATTTATTCAAAACTCAGATGTTATCAGCTCATATTACAACAAACTCACTTTTTCTACAAGTTTCGAATATTTAATGAGCGAGTTTAATGTTCCTGCCGTGTCTAAATTCGACTAAAAAAGTAACAATCGCAAATTAACGTTAAAACCGACACACTACCGGCTATAAAAAACTACAATGAAATTCATTTTTTGTTGGCAGGTATTTAATGAGTTGCACAATGTGCAGCGTAATTAGTAATTCATTTTCTCATCGCAATTCACCTTGTGCCCAATGCATATTAGCGAAGGTTTCTTGTACAAATACCCAACAAACTAACAATATCTGAAAATGGAACAAAAATTTTACTTTTGTCTAATATCCAGTGAGAAATCACCAAAGCGAGAATAAGAATCACTCACTCTCTTCACAGGACACCCTCCTGCCGCGTTCAATTCGCATAAATTTCATTTTTTACATTATACACGTTCGTGTATAATAAAAACGCAGCTATATGTTTAGCGTGCGGCGCGTCGATGGTGTTATAAATAATTTAATAGCCACGGCGGCCAGATTGAGACATAAATCATGCCCATTGTGGGCTTTTTATCGATGCGAGAGTTCAATGAAATTACACACACGTTACATACGCGACACGAATAAAAATCCTCAACAAAAGTTAATAATGCACTCGACGCGTAGGTGCGAGAAGCGAACGGTAAAAAACCGCCAAGCCATAAATCTGTCATAACAAATGAATAACGTGTTAATTTAATAGATGATAGCAAATTTTCGTAAAAGAAAAAATTTTAATCTCAAATAAAGTATAAACCAGTGACATTTACATCAAACTGGTTTTTAAATCGAAATAATTCAAAATCACCTCGTGAGCTATGATATTTGATCCGTTTTCACTTTCGACCAGGGCGCCCACACGCCTGGCAATAAATTCAAGCGCTTTATTAATTTCCTATTAGAATAATTCATGCTTTATTGTGACTTGTATCCATATTTATGCGTCGTGCGCCAATAAAATGTGCATCGCGACAATGACAAGCAACATATTATTCGACGTTATGTTTGTTCATTAAAATGATGGCGGCGTAGGTATGTAAATAGGATGCGTTTGATTTCGTGCATTGTGAATCATGGGCATCGCGCGTTGCGAGAAACTGAAAGTGGGCAATAAAATCGCAAGTGCGCGCATGTTGTAACTGGTTATAGAGAAGAGATGGAATGGAAGAAGTCCGCGGATAAAATATTCTCGCACGAGACGATTGGGCCGCTTCTTTGCGATATTTTACTTTATAGGCGACGATAAATTTTACGTTCGGATTCGCTTGTACTACAGCCACACCTGTTTTATAATCCTTTATCATTTCACATACAGTATCATACAATTCACACAAGTTTAATTAAAATTTTAAACGAAGAAAATTTTCGATTTGATTTTAAACACACTGTATATAAACCAATAAACATCCAACACGTGAAGATTTAAAAGCTTTCTTGTTGCGCGCATGAAAATGCAAAACGATCATCTTCTCGTGCCCCGCCCATCGGTGGTATATGTTTCTGATAAAAACTCGGATTCCTACAGGCGCTAAATCAAATGCGCTCACTTTCGGTGGGCGAACCTGTCGCTTAATCCACATCCACCGCGGAATTATTTACAGCGCACCGAACGCGTGTGGGCATCGAGAATGAAATTGAAACCAGTCACAAGTCACCAGCCACAAATAACAAGACAGATTATATTGATTTCATGATTTGTTTAGGAAATTATTTCATAAATTTATATCTGTGTGGTCGTTAGCTGCTTAAAACAAGTTAAAAATTTAAAAATAACCTCGAATAGGTGATTATTGATTGTCCTGCGGCTCATCAACGTAATAATTTCGATTAGGTAATCATTTATGGCGCGATAATTAAGCTACACCTACGTAAACTTTTAAAAAATAAAACCAAAATTTAAATACTTAATAGTAAGTATACTAGGCAATTAAAAAGAAAATATTTACATTTTAGGCTTTAAAATTAATTTAATTCTAGTAGTGCTTTATGACCGACCTTAAATATGTGTTGGGCAACGAATTTAATGGAACGAATTCAGTAATTACTTCTTACTTAACCATTCAAACGGTTTCACTCGATAATAAAATTATTATAATATAAATAACAAGGCGATCGATTTCCTTTTAGTACCGATGAGTAATAATATCGAATTCAAGTGCGCAGGATTTGTCGTGTCTAGCGTATTTGTTTTCATAATTAGTTAATAATTTCTGGGAACGTTCGACGCGAAACGCTTACAAACGCAGCACGAACAGGCTGTTTGCACGCCGGATTTGTTGGATTATTATTCGCCGGAGGTCCCTCGGCGAGTTGCATAACACAATGCAACAACAACAACAACAACCAGCTTCCAAGTACAAGGCTAGGCGCTGTGTGGATTAACGCAATTAACAGCGCAATCCTTTCCTCTTCCATCTTCGCCAGCCTGCAAGCGAAAATGAAACCAGAAACGCCAACTCTAATCAACACTCGCGAGTGCCTTAATAAACAATAAAAGAATAATAGAAAAGCTCTCGTTTCGCATCAGCTGCTTTTATTGTTTGGCAGAAAACGTGCGCGAAACAATTACGAAAAGGTCGTGCAGTTGTGTTGCCCTACGAGATTCGATACGAAATTTTAATGAAAAACAATCGCGATTATACAATACACGTAAATGTCAATGCCGCAAATAAACGAAAACTATACTCATAATTAAGCAATTAAGTCTGGATTCGAACAATTGCACTTGTGCGCGGGCATTGTGTTCAGGTATTCACCGTGCGCCCAAAATTAGGTAAATAGAAATTCGTTAAACTTAAACAATGGCCCACGATTCTCGTTTTGTTGTAATTGCAAAACAATCAAAGTAGACTTTGAATTAAGTAGGTTGGAAATTATTTTCGATTTTGTCCTGGATGTTTACGTTTATGCTTCGAAATAATAAATAATATAAAATTAATTAATAATTTTGTTCGGAACAATCAAAGTTAGACAGAGTTTTGACTATGAATACAGATTTCCAAAAGCAATTTGTCGGGTTGTTGTTGTGAAGAAACAACGCATTATCAACTTATAATTCATCGCTATTCTTGCGGATAAAGTTTGCGTTCGCACGCCTCTATGCGTGTTTTGTTCGCTTTTCAATCAGTGACAACAAGTAGAACAACATCACGCCATTTACAAATTGAGTTCTTGTGATTTAATGAATAAAAAATACTTTCTAGTTGATAATTGATAATTTTTAATTTAAAAAATTTTACGATTTTTGATCGTGAATATCTTCTAAACTAAAAGAGATAGAAATCAGCGGATTGTAGATTATGAAAGATTAGAAAATTCTCTTTTAGATAAGAATTTAAAATAATTTAATTTCGTGGGGTAAAAGGTCAAAAACGCGGTTAAAAATGCTAAAAATTGAAATTTTCCAATTTTTGATTTTTTTCAATTGCGAATATCTCGTAAATTATAAGAGATAAAGAGAATCAGATTGATGATTCTTAATCTATGTGAAGATTTTTAATATTTTACCACTTTTCAAAGTCTGATTAATAATCTAGGCAACAAATATTGCGAAATACTTTCTAGTCGATAATTGATTTTTGATAAAAAAATTTGACGATTTTTGATCGTGAATATCTGCCAAACTAAAAGAGATAGAAATCAGCGAATTATAAATTTTGAAAGATTAGGAAATTCTCTATTAGATAAGAATTTAGAATAATTTAATTTCATAAAGCAAAAGGTCGAAAAACGCGACTAAAAATGTTAAAAATTGAAATTTTTCATTTTTTAATTTTTTTAATTGCGAATATCTCGCAAATTAAAAGAGATAGAGAGAAACAGATTGAAAATTCTGAATCTGCCACAAGATCTTTAACTTTTCACAAATTTTCTAAGTTTGATTAATAATCTAGCAAACAAATATTGCGTGTACAAAACACGAAAATCATCCCATGTTCCATTTTTCGTCCTTGGCTCACAATATAGAATTTCTTTGATTACACCAGCAATCCGAGCCTAATGTATACCGTTTATCTACATTCCAATAACAACGCGCGATAAATTTAAAGCGAGCGCAATTTCGTGCGTGTACAACACCCGCGTCATTATCATCGACATTATCGCGCCTATTAAACGGCTGCGATTCCGACGATTTCGCGCGACTTTTGTTGGCGGCGAATGAGAATCCCGTTACGCCGGCGAATCCGTATCGGTTCCTGGTTCCTAACTGGCTTATTAAGAGCATTAGGGAAGGCATCGCGCGCGCAATAAAAGGCTAATGCAATGCGGCGGCACACGAAACAATACCAACTGCTATGCGCTACAAATGAGACTTGTTCATAATGTGCCCATACAATACTAAGCATTATCCACACACACATCAAGCCGAGGTAATCTGAAAACGGCAATAAATATCCCGAATGAATTATTGCAGTTGCGCGCGCGCGATGCCGTAATACGGTAAACAGCAAATCGACTCTAGTCGCGCGTGCAATTTCTTGCAATCATTCCGACAGGAGATGCAACGTTTCGATTTACATTCGGCTTACACGAACACACACCACAACTGGCAATAGGTACGCGGAAAACGTGCGATCCGATAAAGTAAACCGGAACGTTTTGCTAATGATGATTAATTATGAGTAGCTGGAACGAAACGCAGAACGCACGCAGCTGATTAATTTATTTGTGCATGCGTTTGTTTAATTAGCCGCAGCAAACACACAATCACTATCTGGTTTCTAATTGATTCATTGAATTATCTCCGTTTTCCTTCCGGTTATCGGCTTGAAATGTCTAATATACAATAATTTATTAATCGCGCGGTAAAAATGTAGAAATTGTATGAATCGTGTTGGTATTTAGATAATAACCAGCAATCACGGTGGATTATTCATCATTATTCCACATTAACATATTTTATTTTGCATTTTACTTGCTTTGTAGGTCAAGATAAATTTTAATTCGCATTTTCTTTTGTTATTATTATTATTTTAAAGAATTTAAATTAATGTTTTACCTATCAATATTTTTTTAAACTCTTTAAACTTTCAGTTTCAGTTAAAATGCGATTTTATTTCGCACCGTAAAAACGATTTAATCATCCGCGCTGGCCGGCTGGCTGAATGAACACAACGCGACGTCCAAAGAGAAAGAGAAAATGAAAATTAATTAATACGAGCAATGGAGCAGCAGCGGAGGCTGGCGATGAAGAAAAAACGAAGAAGAAAAAAACGCCGGCCGAATCAACTCCGAACCGGCCGTAAAAAGTAACCGCTTTGTCGACTCTCTTGAATAGAGCACACGGCGCGCGAAGACACACAACTAGATGTAACGTAATCGAAACAAACGGGTTTTCTTCGGTGGTGCTCATTGTAAAACCAGCGACGCAAAGAGCCAACTCTCCATGCGAGAGAGATGCGTACCGAACCCGAAAAGACAAATTGAAAAACGGGAAAAAAGTAAAAGTCGGATTTCCTTTCAGAGAAATAAGATTTTCAAAATTAAATTTTTAGCCTTTTAAATTCAAATAAAACTATTTAAATAATATTAATATTAAATTATTGATGTGTTGTGTGAATGTGTAGATGTGTATCGGTTGGGCAATTTTCCAAAACGCAAATATTTCTTCGGCAAACCGGTAATCTATATACGAACGGCGATTATCTATCATTATCCGCTGTAAAATGGTGCGCGGGTAATGATATAACGAGCACCTGACACGTCCCAGCAGCGAAGAGGAACGGCAGCGAATTACGACGGCAAAAATCACACTTTACCAGAATCCACAAATCGGACACACGGCGCAAATTAAATCGCCAGCGATTGTTATTAGTTATTACCATCGTGCGGGCATAATTATCACTTGTTCCTCAGGGGGCAGTAGAAATTAATCCAAACGAAAATCACAAAACAAAAAAAATAACCACCAAAACACTAAACACTAAATTTATCGCACAAAATTAAAATTTAAAAAGTTTAAATAAATATTTTTGTTGTAGTACTGATTGCGAGAGTTTTACATTTCCGATTACATTTACTCGTAGTTGTAAGTAAACTGCGACGTGCGCGAGACCGGTGCGTCGACTGACCGTGCAGCGCGTTCCTCCAAGACCGCCGACCACAAGAAACCGACTTAACTCTCCAACAACTGACTTAGTTGGCGTGGCGTGGGGCGAATCAAACAACGCGCCGTGAGATGCTGTGCACACCGAAAAGAGAGAGTGATGCAGATGATGCACCAAACACAATCAGTGCAATGTACAACTAGACTAAACTAAAAACCTACTTTCGATTAATCATATTTACTGCCTAAGCATTAAAAATAAATAAAAATATATAAAAAACACCAATTTTGGATCCAGATTATCAGGATAATCTTTTCTGCGTAACAAATTTCATCACAATCCAATTAAAATCATTACGAAATTGTCTTGAGCGTATGGAATGTTAAAGAGAGTTTGCGTACGCATTGATTTTAATTGTGCCGAGTTGCGAGTTATTTTTATGGCGTCGCTTCTTCGCGAAGGGCATCACACACACACTTACACATGCATGTAAAAAGAAGATACTCCTATAACAACGTCCGATTCGCGTTTCGTGTTTCGCTTCGTTTACATTTACATTCAATCGTAACGAGCGCCGCGAAGGACGTTTTACGGCGAAAAGTGAAAACGAACAACCAAATATCCCCCACCCCAGATAAATAGATATTGCAACTTGTTTGCCGCGCATGCGTATTTCTAATAAATGAACGAGTGCCATCGTAAAAGTTTTATACGCATTTCAGATGTAAATATGCGCGGTCGTGAATAAAACCGCGAGGTTTGCGGTTTGCGATGCAAAAAAGCGGCGCGCGAGGAGGAATGGAATCGTAAACGGTTTTGATTGAAAAGCAAAAAGTTTACAGGTTTACCAACCAACCAAGCAGAGTAGTTTTATTTTATTTTTAACCTAAAGAAAGGTCAGGGACGAGCAAAATATAAATTTTATATTTAGTTTTCCTTCATGAATACTGAAGTTGGTAGTTTGTAGTAGCAATTAATCATTAGTCGCGTTGACATCCCGAATTGGCGCGCATCCATCACGCAATTACGCGACTGGTGGAAGTTTGGATTAATTGCGATGGCACTTTTAGTTTTATCCCCGCACATCGTAATCAACCCCATCGCATGTGAGAGGAATTAAACATCAATACTTAACCATCTGATGTTTTTGTATGCGTTTTTGATTAGGCGCAATTAGCACACACGGCCGGTTTGCGAATGTAATTTGCAATAATTCAGATATCAGCGAGACATTCACATCTTCCTCACTGCAAATAATTATAAATCAAGTTCCCGTTATTGAATGCGCGCGGCGGGTTACAACATTACTGTTTTCCGCACAAAGTGATACACATTCGCATTCACACAGTCACTTGTAATGTGAATTCTAATCAACAGTCGCAAAACTTACAGAAACTTGGATAATACTCGTAAATCAATCGGAGAAAATCGCATAACTCATTTGTTAATAAACAAACATCAAACAAGACAAAATGTAGAGTGATTTATGCATAGTTGAATAAGATACCAAAAATTTAAATGTTATTCAACTTGAAATCTTTTCCTAGGTCATTAGTGAATGTCAATTGTAATTTATTCAGTCTCAAACGTGCCGACATGCGTGCGAAAATTAATAAAACTCCATAAAATTCAATAAAAATCAAAGCATAGAAACCCACCTATGCAAATGAGTGTGAATTGGTTGTAAATGTTTAAATTAATTCCATTTTAAGGTCTTGATCCCGCACGTAAAATATGACATCGCAGAACCCGCAGGAGGCGCATGGGAACTCGCGGAAACGCGAAAATCTGGAGGTCGAGATCACCAACAAATGATACCTCGGACAAGACACCACAACTATCAATTAATTTATTATCCGCCTGCATACTCGACGCGTGCGTTATCAGCGCCTCGCCACGACGATGAAATTATTATCAGATTTTATTACCTGCAGCAAGGCAAGCGATCGTAAACGTAAACAATTGCCGACGGAATAAATTATTCCATAAAATGTCCGAGCGACAAAAAGCATGCTGCATTAAGGACAGGCGCTAAAATTACTACCACATTAGGATTAGAAAATAACGGTTGTTTTTTATGCGTAAAATTAAGAAATTTTGGCCACAATTTCACCAAAAATAAAAATATTTAAAAAATAACCTTAATAAAGTGATGATGACTACAATACTGTGATGGAATAAAATTTTTATGTTTGGTTTTTCTACGAAATGTTTAAAATGTGGCGCACGTATGATTGCGTTGACATGCCTGACGCAATCTTAGAAAAACACAATTCGTGTCACTTATCAGCACACGTTTATCTATTGTTTCCACTGCACCACCTACGTCAACAACCGCCCATTGTCTACGTCTACAACTTTCTTCTTCTATTGCTACATTTTTCCTCCTAAAAACTAAAATAAACACAAAATTCTTCGAAATATTCATATGAATACGCAGAAAAACATGGAAACTTTATTGATTATTAAGAAAACGAATAAATGCTTTTATTGCACGCTGGCCGCCGATGCAGCCGCGATGGGGCGAGCAGATTGGCCGCATACAAAAGAGGTGTATTTATAGCTAAGATTGGCGACATTCGATTAGAGACAATTGCGGCGTTCATAAATTACGAGCCGCTATGAAAAGGTCCGGCCAACAATTCCACGCACACCCTTCTTCTCCTCTTCTCGCGTCTTTATATGTGTACTTGGTGTGTGCGGCCGCAGCCACCCCGCGAATACCTACGCACGCCCGCGGCGGAATACGAGAATGTAAGAAAACGAGTGGAAACCGCGAAACGTCCGACGGCCCACGGGCCCTTTGTTCGCGACGACGACGACAGATTCCAGCCGAGTGCGCGCGCGCGCCGCTCTTAAACGGTGGGCACCTGGACGGCCTTGATAAAAACGACCGCGGGCCGATGCTTATAAATAAAATATATTTACGAACCCCATGCACACATCTGTGTGTGTGTGTACGCGGAGAATTAAACCCGCAAGTAACAAGCAACTTAAATTGCGTTAGTTACAACACTTATAACTCGAGAACCCTTGGACGGATTTTGATGATCTATGATTTTTTGGGTTCATCACGAACCACATTAAGAGAATAATTAATAAAATACCGAAAATTATCACTGGAAGTGTGTTAAATAAGAGATGAAAATTGGAATGATAGTTTTATCATAGTTAGAGTTAAATAATTGAATCCTAGATGGCGCTAAAGTACAATTGCTATTCGTTTTGATGAAATAGATTTTTAATCTCAAATATTTCGATGCACACCTGGTATTTCTCCCTTTCTTTAGTTTAATTACCAAAGTACTTACTTTTTGCGGTGCGTCTCGAAACATTTTTGCGATGCAAATGAATATAAAAAGGCATTCATCTCGAGCTCACCTGCAACAAACAAGAAAAGTGCGTGTCAGACACATTAAACGTCCATTCATCCGAAACAATGCGCGTTTAATTAGCTTTCGCATGCGCAATTTGCGCGTAATGATGGCCGATTGCGTGCGCATCCCCCAAACACTTTAATTACGAACGCGATAAATAATTATCCGATGCAGTGTCTAATTAATCAAATAATAGCGTTAAACAAATAGAAATCATGGCAATGCGCACGAAATCAAATAATTAATTTAATTAGATTTAATTAAAACCACCCGACCACATAATTCGATGATCAAATATAGAATAGAAATATTTGTGGTATTTTCATAATTTACTCATTTATTTATTAATCGACGAGATTAATCATGATTATGACGGCACATCAACACCGCCTGAGAAAACTCAACGACTGAGAAACGCGGAAATTAGTCGGCGGTTCAAGAAGAAGAAAAAAACCAACGAAGACGTTCATCGAAGCGCGAGTTATCGATGGAAAATTAACATTCAGGCATTGAGGCGCATCGCCACCAAGACGAGAGATGATGATGAAGACAAAATGGTCGCGGCGTTGAAAACTTTGTTTTATTTTTTTTCTCGACAGCGAGACGTCTTATTTACTTGTTGCGTTGCAGGTCAATTGATCCTGGTTATACAGAGTGTTGAAAATATAAATTTAAAGATTTAACACTACTAATGAAGCAACTTAAATTGCGTTAGTAATTAGCTTTCGCATGCGCAATTTGCGCGTAATGATGGCCGATTGCGTGCGCATCCCCCAAACACTTTAATTACGGCGCGATAAATAATTATCCGCGCTGCAGTGTCTAATTAATCAAATAATAGCGTTAAACAAATAGAAATCATCGCAATGCGCACGAAATCAAATAATTAATTTAATTAGATTTAATTAAAACCACCCGACCACATAATTCGATGATCAATATAGAAAAGAAATATTTGTGGTATTTTCATAATTTACTCATTTATTTATTAATCGACGAGATTAATCATGATTATGACGGCACATCAACACCGCCTGAGAAAACTCAGCGAGTGAGAAACGCGGAAATTAGTCGGCGGTTCAAGAAGAAGAAGAAAAAAACCCGAAGACGTTCATCGAAGCGCGAGTTATCGATGGAAAATTAACATTCAGGCATTGAGGCGCATCGCCACCAAGACGAGAGATGATGATGAAGACAAAATGGTCGCGGCGTTGAAAACTTTGTTTTATTTTTTTCTCGACAGCGAGACGTCTTATTTACTTGTTGCGTTGCAGGTCAATTGATCCTGGTTATACAGAGTGTTGAAAATATAAATTTAAAGATTTAACACTACTAATGAAGCAACTTAAATTGCGTTAGTTACAGCACTTATAACTCGAGAACCATTGGACGGATTTTGATGATCTATGATTTTTTAGATTAGTCTGGGTATAGACTAAGAGAATAATTATTAAAATATCAATAATTATCACTGGAAGGGGGTGAAATAAGGGTTGAAACTTCGTATGGTAATTCAATCACGCGGCGTTGAAAACTTTGTTTTATTTTTTTATCGCCTGCGAGACGTCTTATTTACTTGTTGCGTTGCAGGTCAATTGATCCTGGTTATTCAGAGTGTTGGAAATA